TAATTCTTCTAGCTTCTGGTGCATAGCAGAGAGTGAATCTATTCTGGTTATTAAGGATAATAAAAATAATAATTCATGACTAGTACTTTCTGCTAAGCTGGTTGACTGTGCAGTATGCTGTGCAATTTGTGGCGTGGGATTCATGGCTGGTTGTGACCTTTAAATTGGTTGCTGATGTGAGTTTGTTACCTGAGAATATGTTATTTCATTTCTGACAGTAGGAAAAGCGTTTATGGATCTTCTCTGCCTCGTCATTATTTTAGGTTTAGTGGTGTTATCCTTCCTTATCTGAAAGGTTTTAGCTACCTCACATCCTCTGTAGTTAGTAGGATGTTCCATTAGGCAGTTTATACACTTCGGTTGTTGTTCTGGACTTTTTACACAATCTTTCGTATGATGTTTTCTTACGCACTTTACGCATCTTGATTCTCTTTTGCAAAAGTTGTGCGTATGTCCAAATAGCTGGCAGTTTTTGCATTGCGGAACTAGTTTTGACTTTCTTATGGTTTCTATTCTATCTCTTAGATTAAGTATTGCTTTGATTTCGTATATTTTCTTACTATCTTCAATATTTTTGAATGATAGCATGAATATGGGCAATTGTTTTTTATTTAGTTTGCGAGTGTTATCCTCGGTTAATTCTATTTCCTTTTTTATTATATTGACAGCTTCTTTACATTTTAATCCTTGGCTTTGCATGTCTTTAACAATATCTTCTGGTTTAAATCTAGATGGTAGACCTCTAACCATTACTTTAATGTCTCTGTTATGTTTAATTTCATAGGCATGCCAATTTATTTCTTTGGCATTCAAGGTTGATATGACATTTTTGAAGTCTTCTTCTTGTTTAGTATTAATTTTAAACTGGTCATTGCTTAGAGCTGTGGCTTGAAAGGAAATATTATTTTCTGCCAGTGTATGGCGCAATTCTTCATACTTATTGATGTTGCTTGCTATTATCGGGGGAAATTTTACTGTGTTTTTGACTGTTTCTTTCTCTTGTTGTTGATTTTTGCTACCTCCAGGTTGGCCAGGAGAGGAGTTGGCTTTTCGTTTTTTTCTTTTATTGTTTCTGCTTTCCGCTGTTATCCATTCTACTTCTTTGGTAATTTGATAGCCGATTTCTTTTGCCAGTTCTTCTTCATCAGTTTCATAATTCGTTGGAATTTCAGATTTTTCTTTGTTTAAAATATTAATTTGTTTTTACATATTTTCCATATTGTTTTGAATTTGTTGCAATGCATTTTCTAGTTGCTGTTTTCAGCTTTTTCCTGTATCCAAGCATTGTACAATGCCTGTTCATTCTAACTTCTAGCTTGATTTTCATGGAATAAGGCCTGATATTGTTGGGCTAGGAGATTTTCTCCCACTTCCATTGTTTCCATATTATTTGTTTGAGTTACCTGAAGCAGGTTCTGTTTTTTTTGCTCCAAAAGCACTTTGGCAGGTGTCGTTTCTGTTTTATTGTTTTTTTCTACACATTGTAAAACTATTTTTAATGGCACATTATTATTTTTATTTTTGTTCTTAAATATTACGTTTAGCAATCATTGTTGATTTTTTAAACAGTCGCGATTACAAAATATTTACACTACATACACAAACGAAACTGACCTAGTTGCGGAGTAATGTTAATAAACATACATCCTCACCTATCGACAGCCGAATATAAACTGTAATTTGAACAGTAAAAATATATTTATATAATTTGTGAAATTTAAAATGAATTAACATTATTATATACATGTGGATGAAAAAAAGTATTTCTTTTTAATGTTTTTCCGATAGGACGTCAATGTGTGGAATTGTGAATTGAAACGTTCGGGGGTGGGTGCCGAGAATGACCGAAAAGCTGAAACCGAAAAGCAATTCCAAACTTGTCCGGTACTCGACGTCGTAAAATAGTGTTTTGCTCATTAAAAGTTGAATTGATTTTGTTCTGTTTCGATTGCTCCGTCATCCAAAAGATGTGAAGTTAAATGGCTCTGTTGTCGACACTCTCGGGCACTCTTCACAATCGCCACTCACAAACTCAACTCAATACACTTTTCCCATTTTCTCTTGATTGTATTCCAGGAAATTAAATTTGTCCTTATACTTAACGGACCCATTTGAATTTAGACCAGACAATTTACCGTTTGCCTTGATTATTATTATAGAGGATATCTATAAATAAAATAAGTATCATCCAGGACAAAATATTAATATCCAAAAAAGTAAAAGGCCACAGATGAGAAGAAAAATAATAAGACATTCTAGCTACGCCATAGAAACATCATTAAATCAATTCTGTCAAAATGGTAAAGTGAAAATGAACAAATTTTTATTTTTCTTTCTGTTGGCGTTGATCAATATTTTAAGAAAAAGTAAAACTCCCTTATTGGCATTGAGAACGATAGAAGATTTTCTTTCAAGTTGTGCCTTGTCGATCATATTCAATGTTATATTGGGTTTGATTTGTCCTAAACTGAGTCCTAGAAGGTATGCGAGAAATTGGGCGTATAGAAATTTGGAATTGTAGATACATGAGTGATTAAAGTGTTTTGAACATTTTATTTGCAGTTATTTAAGTATAAATTATAAAAATAATAATTATAAGAGATATACAAAAATATTGCGCTATTATATGGTAAGAACATGGTAAAATTAGCATAATTTCATTTGGTGGAAATAGACAGTTATACGAGTAGTTCTAAGATGTTATAGTTATCTGTCTGTACAGCTTTCCTGGCTTTGTAAAACCCCTTTATAAATAATGATTATAATGAATTAAAAACTAAGTAATATCCTTAGCAACCAATCCCCCTGTATGAAATAATCGTTTTGGTATTTTACGCAAACATTTAGAGGAAGAAAAATCTCGTAAATTTCTCCAGAACTAAGTATGAAAAATTTTCTTTTGTACGTTCAACACCTGTGTGACGTTACATTTTTCCGGACAATAAATATGGTTAGACCGACTATAATCTTGAGTTATGTAGGAAATAAGAAGCGAATTTTCCGTCTTTCTGAAAACATGTTTAACCATGCTAGATACGCTTTATGAATCATTCGAGTCTATCAAATGCTTTATTTCTTGCTATTAGATTATAATGTCGAGGTAAGGAGAACTATATCTGTTTATAGAAAGTGTACCTCAAAATATTTGAAATCAAAATGGCGCCGAAAGTTGTGAACGTTTTATTTAGATATATTTTGTTATATTTCTCCGTATACTGCTCCAGCGAAAGTACTGGATCAGTAGACTTTGGGTTTGGAAAAGTACCTAGTTTGTCAGAATGTGTTGCTAACTAGAAATGTGCAGTATCATCGGTATACAGATAAGTATGGTTTGAAGGTGTATATGAGGTACAGAAGGGGATCCAGGACATAACCCTGTGGTAATTCAGCAACTGGAGTGAAAAGATCTAATACTGTAACAGTTCTGTCCGTGAGGTATGAGTGTATGATTTGGAAATGTTGAGAGAACTATGTTTAAGTAATGATCCTAAAGTAATCTACATGCTGGCTATGGGCATTTGCCAACGTGAAGAGTAGCTTTAAGACTAACAAATCCTAGACGGTATAACAATAAATATATAAGTACTATATGATTTTATTTTAATGTATTTAATAACTTATTTTGTAATAAAGAAGCTTTTTTACATATTTTTTGAAATTTTCTCTGTATTTTAATTTTACTTTCTCTGTATATCTAATAATTATTTTCAACACTGGGAAAATGCTATTAAAATTGTATCATATCGATAACAAACGGTAAATTTAAATGTGGGGAAATATTCCTCACCCCTCTAAAAAAAAAAGATGAAAGGTAACCAGACAACTGACACTGTAAAACCATTTTATAAATTCGGATGTATCCGCTTTATTGGATATTTGTTTTTAAAACGAAAATTAAAATGCTGTTTGTGAATTATATATAGATAGCAATAAATTAAATGAATTACATTCGGGCATTTCTGTTTAATGGAGTGCAGCAAAAAATTCAATTTCAAATGCACGCTTTAGTCCGCTACCTATATGATGTTGCTATTAACGTTGTTTTCATTTCATTTCGTTTAATAAAATCATTTAAAAAGGTTTTACATCGAATCACTACATTAAGACTGATTTTAACTTTGTTTTCATAGTTTTATATAAAAAGGTTAAGAGCAAACCTGACCTCTCTAGAAAATCTGCTATACTATCTACTTCTCGTTCCAAATATATTTTAAATAGTAATAGACGTAATATAGACGTATGAAGTTGACATATTAAAATACAAGGCGTCAATCTGTAAATTAACTCATTTCAACAACGTATAACTTATAAAAAGATATTGATATGGTTTTTACTAGACTTCATAAATGTACTACAAGTTTTTGTTGCCATACATATAAATGTATATACTGATATGGAAACACCCAGTATATGGATTTCCAAAAAATATTCTAAAAACTACCGAATTTCAAACTGGGCGGGTTCAAAATCTAGAAAAATTAATTTTGTATAAAAAAAATAAAAATAATTAAAATCAGTTAAATTCAAAAAAATCTTCTATTTCTTTGCCCTGGGTGCTTTGCTCCTGTTCCTGCTTCTGATGTCGGTTCTTATTTTAACTCTGGTCTTCCTTTTTATACTCTCCTAGTCTTCTACCTCCTGCTGTTTCTTTTCTGTGCTCCTGCTATTTGTTCTTGTTCTAACTCTGGTATTCCTTTCTATACTTTCCTAGTCTCCTACCTCCTGCTGTTTCTTTTTTATCTGCTTGCCACTGTTACTCTCTTTTGTATCTTAGTTTCAATTATATAACTTTTCTTTACCTTTTTAAAACGATATAAGATTTAGATTTTTCATAAAATGGAAAATCATGCATCTGAAAAAAGATTTTTCATATTTGAATAGTTATTAGATTTATTTGGACATCAACCAAATGTCAAATAAAGGAACTTTTCGTTTTTGACATGGTTTCATTAAAAAACAAATGTTTCCTTAAAATAAATATAAAATAAATGAAACACAACTCATAATTCACAATTTATTCTTAAATCTACAAAGTACAAACCATCCCATTGTACGTAGTCTTCCCAGGTTTATTATAATAACCCCTTTCCAAGACGACTCCTCTTCTTCTCAAATTTTCATCAATATCCTTCAAACTGCTACACTTAAAAGAATTTACCGCCAAGCTGACAGTCATCAAACCTTTCATATCCTCTAAAATATCCTGGGTATTTAACGTACTTAAATAATTAGCCTTCAAATTCAAATCCTTGACAGCATTAAGTCCTTTAAAAGCTCTATTTTGTATATCTGTTATAGCATTGTCTGCTACATTCAATATTTCAAGTTTGTTTAGGTTATGAAACGAATAGGCAGGAATTTTTTTGATTTGGTTGTTATTAATTGTAAGTATTTTTAAGGTTTTAATAGTGTTAAGGGCTTCAGGAATTGAGGATAAACTGTTGAAACCTAAATTAATTATTTCTAGGTTGAATAAACCTACAAAGGAATCGTCTGATAGCGTAGAAATTTGGTTCATGCCTAAATTGAGCTGTTTTAAATTCCTCAAATCTCTAAATACTCCTCCAGGTATTTCTCGCAACATATTATTATAAAGGGATAACTTTTCCAAGTTGTACAATCCATCGAAAGAGCCAATTTCGATACTTCTAACCTTATTGTTTTTTATAAATAGTATTTTAAGTTCTGTTAGAAGCTTAAAAGATCCAGCTGGGATAGTTTGCAGCTCTCCTTGACCGAATTCCAGTAAATTTTGATAATTTTCTATTCTTAAAGGAGTATTTTTATTTAGTGGTTGTTCCATGCATGTCGTTACTCCTGGATGCGAGATGCAAGATTGGTACGTCAAATCTATTAAAAAGAGGAGTAGTATTGTTGGTAAAATCTTCATTTTCTGGAAATTAATTAAAGTTTAAAATAAAGTTGTTACAAGGATTCCTAATTGTATTTTAATAAGTCCAAAATATAATATATAAAACATATCTTTAATATGAATATCTTTCAAGCCTTGTATAATTTATTGAGTTAAATGCGAAAACAAAAACATAATACTAAACTGAAATGTTTACATAGAGCATAGTTGTCGACCAAAAAACAACAATTGATTCAATAAATCGAAAAATAATAATACAATCATATAATTTGTAACACATTTTTTATTAAAAATTTAGTATCGTTCATTTTGACCAATATTATTCCAAAAATACAAACAAAAAATAGGTTTGTAGTAGAAAAAACAAATTTTCTTACGGATACCATCATATTTTTGTTTGTATTGTAAAGCTGAGAATGGCCATTATGGACCACATTCAATTAGTGGGTATCTCTGAAATATTTAATAGAAAAAAATGATCTCAAATTTGGGAGAATTTATGGGTTCCTATTTATGATCTCTGATATAAATGTTAAATTTGAAAAAAATTATATTAATTCAAATACATTGTAATTCAATACTTACATGATCCTACTTAGTCAAACTACAGTTTAATTGAATGCATGAATATTGTTGTTTATTGATATTTTCAACAAACTTAATGAGATCAAAGTTTATCACATTGTTATTTATATATTGATATGATGACAGGACCGGTACGAGTTTTTCAGGTAAATCTTTATAAAATTTAATACAAACATTACACCAATTTGAAATACTTTTAATGGACCGGGAGCTGCAGCTCTTAAATGTCAAAGTGGGTTCATTTGGCCACTAAAAATTGTCAAATTTTAAAAAAGGACCAACATTTATTTGTCTATGAATCAAGAGAATTATGAGAAGTGGCTTAGGAAACTGTTGATACGACATTCATCACTAAATGTTGTTGTAGTTATTGATAATGTACCATATTAAAAGTTTATCGAAAATCCTGTTCCTAATTAATATTCAAGAAAAGCTGAATGAATCAAACAGTCTAAAAATAGATTCTAATACAAATTTGATAAAAATATTCTCATAATATGGATATACAGTTTTGTGAATACCACCATATCACACAGACTTAAATCCAATAGAAATTATTTGGGCTGTAGTAGTAAAAAAGTAATAATAATAAATTTTATATTAGAACTGGTAATAATATAGCTAAAAACTAATTTAAATCTATATTTTAACAAATTTATGAGATATGACTATTGTAAGTTTTTATCCTGTGTTTAGGTTTTTTTGTTTCTAAAAGTTGTTCCCCCTATAACGTTCTCATAAAGCAAATGTACAAAAATTTGCATGTTGTAGCGGTTAGTGATATATTTTTCGGACTAAAATACACAATAATGAAATATTCTTCTCACGTAGTATTTGTCCTAGTAGTATCGCAGTAACCGTACAATTTGAACATTGCGGCAAAAGTTAAGGTGCCCGATAATCGAGTTATTCTGGTTATTAAAAGCGAGTCCTAAAGTTAAATGGACCCGAATCCGGAATCAAACAAAAAGCTCTCGAATAAAGCTTTACATAATAAACACCCAACGCTCGGATTTTCGCAGGAATTATATCGTGAAGTTCTTTCGTTCGGAAGAAATTTAGTGCCGGGAAGGATTTTCGCTTTTAAATTAAGAAAAATGCTTTTGTTAAATGAAAACGAGATGAATACATTTTTTTTTTGATATCACAGTATAAAAACCGAACCTGTTAGAATTCCTGAATTTTTTTTAGATGATCGTGATATTTATAGCATTTTTACCGATATTTTCTTTGTTTATTAGTGATTTAATATTGAATTTTAAAGAACTATTTTAGAGAAAGTTTTTCTATAGTTTCAGTCACTTTGACTTTGTCTCTCACGACATTCGGCTGGAAAAATCAAATTATTATAGAATTATCAGAAAAATACCTCATCTAGTTTTAAAATGATCACTCATGAAGTGCCACAAGGTTCTGTTCTTGGGCCTCTACTATTCCTTATATACGTCAACGATCTAACTAAATTCTATTCTTCTTGCCGATTAAAAAAAATCGATCGTATTTAATAAATTCTACTAAGGGCTATGTTATTATTTGCGAACTTAAAAACGTGATCCACTAGTCAAAATATTTGGTATAATAATTTAATTATATATCATCAATTGCCACTGCCAGTGGTAAAATCTAAAATTTAAAAAAGCGTATTATAATAATAAGACATTAATCATACTTTAAATGGATCGCTTACTACCATGTCTTAGAATCAAATAAAGTCTAACTCTTAAATTAATAAACATATTCCAAATAATTTAAGATGCCTTGCGTCATGTTAATAAAAAGTAAACAATATTTCTTACCATTTATTTGTTATTCTGTCCCGTACTTCCATGTCTCTAATAGCTCTGCTGTCAACTATTTCTGGTAAGGCATATTGCATATAAAAAATTTTAAATTTATTTTTAATCTTTTCTTCCCAAAAGCTGTCATTATGAGAAATTTTCTCCACTTTTATTTTTCAAGGAATCCAAACGCACAAAATGCAAAAATCCATTTGTGTAATGTGCTGCTAGCCCTGAATTTAAAACTACTGTGGTTCTCCTTAATAGTATTGTCCTTTTCCCAAAAAAGTTATTTCTCTACTGCATATTATTTATTCTACAGTCAGCACTGTAGCTTCCCATATGGACATTTTAACTCTATCATAGAGTTTTGTTTTAAATTCCATCCGGACTGACAGCAACATAATCAAATTCGGAATCAATAAAGAGTCCACATTTAAAAACTTTTCTTGCATATAAATTTTCAGATCATATTTTACTCTAGATTTATTGTCCATGCCATTTTATGAGATATTTTAAAGAAGACGTTTCGTTTTTTTACAAATGTCTACAAATTTTAAAGTAGTGACACGTTTTCGTCTTTCAGTAAAACAATGCACAAGCTTGATCTTGTGTTACACTCGTTTATTTTCTCATCTATAGACAGGGGCGGTTTCTCCATTGGTTCATTTGTGCAGTGAACACCCAGTTAAATTTCATAAAAACACATTATTTTAAAATTACATAAATAACATAAAAATATAAATTTAATTTTAATATTTTTATTTTCATACGTGTTAATCTATATTTTTTGGTACATCATTGCCCTCTGGCTGATCGCGTCTCTGTGGCATAGAATACCTAATGCCGCGTTTGAGAATCCACATCGGATGCATCTGAGATGTTGTGAATTTTTTATCACGTGATAGAGAATTAGATCTGAATGTAGATGTAATAAACAAACGCTCTAGACTTTATTTGGTCACGTGACAAATGTCAATGATAAGTTAGAAATTTATACTTATTAAATTTGACTTTTGAGACTACAAATCAACCTAAATTTGAAATATAAACAAAAATTAAGCAAACTAATCACTTTTATATTCATGCTAGCATAAACAAAGGAAAAATTGACAAACAAGGCTTCACAGAACACTTTAGCATGGAACAAACATCTCATTCACATCTCATTTCAAATCGAGATGTAAAAAATGTAATCTGAACAGGTACATCTGGGATAAAAAAACGCAGATGTAGATGTAGTAGATGTGTCCGATGTGGATAAAAAAACGCTCGAGATGTAAAAAATGCATCCGATGTGGATTCTCAAACGCAGCATATGTATACCGTGTCTGTGGCGCATTATGATGAGTGAGCCTAACATGAGTGAGACGATTTGATGAATGCATAAAGTTAAAAAGAGAAAACAACACGCCAAAATATCCTTCAAACGTCAAAAGAACTCATTAATAGAGGACTTCTATACAAGGGAAAGGCAACCAACTTGACAAAATAAAATTGACACTAATGACATAAGAAATCGGGTCACATAAAGAGACTGTTTTTTAGTTTGATTTTTGGTTGTTCCTATCTACTTTCATGCCATTTGCATACCTTGTTGTACCCGTAACGTGAAAAAGACTTTTTAGTTTAGGGTATTTTACATTTAAAGGTTGAAATATTTTGTCATTGTCAGCTGTCAATTATGTTGATGATAGAACACAGGCGTAACCATAGATGGGCATAACGTAACTAGTATTGTATGTTGGTTGTATATTTTATAGAACTTGTATTCGTAGCAGCAGCATTTTGCAATCGACATAAATAAATAAATAAATAAATAAATAAAACCAAATGAAAAATAATATTTCAGGAAAGCAGGAGAAACACAATTAGACTAATAACAACAAAAATAAAATGCAATGCTACGCTTATGTTTTGACATTATCTACAGCTGATATTGACAAATGTTTTCAACCTTTAAATGTAAATTACCCTAAAATAAAAAGTCTTTTTCACGTTACGGGTACAACAAGGTATGCAAATGGCATGAAAGTAGATAGGAAAAACCAAAAATCAAATTAAAAAACAGCCTCTTTATGTGACCCGATTTCTTATGTCATTAGTGTCAATTTTATTTTGTCAAGTTGGTTGCACTTCCCTTGTATAGAAGTCCTCTATTGGCGCGCCGCTCACAAACTAGGTTTCCAAACCAGTGTTGCCAGTCTAGTACAATTCACAATTGTACTAGATGTAGTACATTTTGCTTGAGGCAGTGTTCACGTGTAAAATATATATATATATATATATATATATATATATATATATATATATATATATATATATATAAATATATTGTGTTCCTTGTTTGGGTTCGTTATCTATAAAAACCCTCTTTTTTCCTCTTCAATAAATTAGATGTCACTGCAAATAGAATTCGAAAAATCTGGTACATAACAAAAACATATTCTGGCAACATTGTACCAAATCAAACAAACTGTCATTCCGTCTACCTGTGGATCGTTTATATCGTGCGAATTTAGAGATGAGTAGTAATCCGTAAATGTACCTACTTAACACTTACAGATTTGCTAATATCCATGTCTAAATTCCAGTGTGACACCGGCACCACTTGGAACTTTAGAGACGTTGTAACCGAACTTTGATTTTAGTTCAAGGACGACTTACCCAACTCCGACTCAGCTGAGTTCTGTTTATAAATATGAACCTGAATATATTTGTATCCTTGTTTACCGATATATAAAAGAAGAAAGTGAGAATACACAGTGAGACACGAGATCCCTTTACAAATTATACTTTTTATGGATTTTTGTGTTTCGTGAACCGAATTTTCGTTGTTTTGAGGTTGGCTGTACTGGTCTTAGGTTCTGTGTGAATTTACTAGTGCTTATGTACGATGGAATCGTATTTGGTAAAATTTATAAAAACAAATAGACATAATTTCGAAAATCGAGTGCTTACAAAAAAGAATGGCCCACCTCAATCGGAGATAAACATTGTTCAAGAATGTGCCATAAGAAATAGAAAGTTTAAACATCCTTTTAAGATTGAACAATATAAAAAAACTTCGTGGTTATGCGGGTGTGATAAACAACATGCTTTGTTTTGTTTTCCTTGTTTAGTTTTTGCAAACAATGAAAATACTAAATCAGAAAGGACAAAAACGGGTGTTAGGGAATTATCTCATATTAGGTAAGCATGATTTTGCATTATTTCTATAATTTAAACTTGATGTTTCTTTCTTACACTGTATTAATCGAGGAATTAATATTTTAAATTATAACGAGCCACCACTACCTTTAATTAAAAAAATC